AAGCAGTTCACCGCTGTTCAAGCAGGTTCAGCAGGTTCAACGCAGCTTCAACGCTGGGCCTCTCCGTTAGGTTTCGTGTTCTCGCTCGTGTATAGACCTACGTCGATGAGTGTGTACGTATATACATACATATATTATATATATATATATATATATATATATATATATATATATAATATATATATATATATATATATATATATAGGCATGATACATACATGTACACAACACATATACATATAAGTTGATAGAGAGAGAGAGAGAGAGAGAGTATAATACATATATATTATATATATATATATATTAATATATATATATATATATATATATATATATATATATATATATATATATGCATAATTTTGCACGTATAATATGCAAGAGCACTTTCCCCTAAACTAATTTTATGCCGAAGACAAAAGCGCTCACACATACACGTCTGCACACCCAAGCAAATACACATTAACGCAAGCACAGTTGTAAATATCTCTTTTGTCAAGAACAGCATCATAAAACATGCTTTTATGAGCGGGAAGAAAAATTCACTTGCTTGAAGTTATTTCGTCTATTCTCAAACATACGTGAATATTTTCTTTGGTGGTTGAATGTTATGTATCACGGGTTTGTTATGACTGTTTTTGTCGTTGTTGTTGTCGTCTTTGCTTTTCTTTGTTTCTTTTTTCATCGTCATCTTCGTTGTCAACTTCGTCGATATCTTTGTCTTCAATATTTTCGTTGTCATCACCGTCATCTTCACCGTCCTCTTCGTAGTGTTCTTTGTCTTCGTCTTCAGCTTCGCCATCGTCATCTTCGTCTTCGTTATCGTCGTCGTCGTCGTCGTCACCGTCATTGTCGTCGTCATCGTTACCTTCACCATCAAAAGTGCTCTCAAGCGAGGACTATATACTGAGAAGGTGGATGGGCTACTTTAAGCTGACTAATGAAGATAATGAGAGAGAAGACTGAGTGATGTGGAAATGGTGAATACAATGGATAAGCAAGGAAGAAGTGTGGACGGTTATAAGGAGGATGAAGAGTGGGAAGGCAACTGGTCCAGATTATATGCAAAAAAAGAGCATTACAGATGTGATGTTTGGTTTGAGTGTTGAGGAAGTATAGAAAAGACCGCTTGTGGATTTAGATAACTCTTACGGTATAACGAAGTCTTGTGGCAGAGAAGTATGTGTGGATAGTGCAGCATACGTTTGGGGACATTAAGACAACAGTAAGGTGTGCAGTATGAATGGCGTATGAGTGGTGGATGGGTTCAAGGTGGAGATGGGATTGCAACGAGAATCGGCTTTAGAGTCATTTTTTCATTTGCAGTGATGGATAGCTTAATGGATAAGATCATGTCTCATTGGACTATAAAGCTCATGAAGGCCATCATGGTCTAGATTGAGAGTAAGTATGCATTGGAGAGAAGAAAAATGAATGTTAGCAGAAGAAAGACGGCAAATGTGCATGAGTGAGAGGGAGGGCAACAGCATGGCACAGTAGTACAGTACAGAAGTAGAGGTGAAGGTGGGCAAGTTAAAAGATAATAAGGGATCTACAAGAGGATTGTAGGCCTTGATGTCTGTAAGAAACTTTAGTACTCCAAGTATTTAAGAGTATAAGAAACAAGAGAGAGCAGACACGATAGAGTGGGTGGAAAAGAGTGGTAAGAGTGATTTGTGACAGAAATGTTTCTGTGAACGGGAAAGTTTCCCAGACACAGAAGGCAGAGATGAAAGTGGCAAAACTGAAGATGCTGAATTTTTTCTTGACCGTGGCAAGGACTGATAGGATTAAGAAGCAGTATATCAAAAGGACAGGTCCGGGGAGAAAGTGATTGAGGGGAGACTAAGATGATTAAGAAATCTAGAGAAGGTGAATCACGGTAGCAAGGTAAGGATACTGAGGATGGAGCTGCTTGGTAGAACGCCAAAGAAGAGTTTTATGGGTTTTGGGACAAGACGATATGAATGTGGTTTGTGTAACATAGTAAGATGCAGAGAATATGGCAAAATGGAAAGGGGTGATTCAGTGTGGCAACCCCAAATGGAAGCAACCAAAAGATTTCTAAAACAAATGTTATAGTTGGTATTATTAGATCCTTTATCATAATCATCAATGTTAAAGTATTGCTGTATACTATAAACATGAAAAGGGCCTTACAATCAAACTGATTTACTTGTTGTTTCTATCAATTAGAAAGGACTATAAATAACACATTCCATTTGATGATACATATGTATTATGTATTACATCTGTTGATATATATACACTGAGAATTACAGTAATATAGAACTTACATGAAAGAGTAAGCAACATGGAGCATAGGAAAAAATGTTTGAATATTCTGCAATAGTCTGTTTAAATATGCAATCCAGATATACATTATGCTTTTCCATCTTATTATAAACTCCTGTTATGAGATGGTACAGTAGGATATTCATGATTCTTGAAAACATTTTCTCTGAGATGCCGCTGTAAAAATTCCCGTCTCAATAAATGCCCTTGAATCAGAAACAATAAGTCATATATCATGAAGCCATATTGGTATATCATATATTGCATGCAAATATCAATGGAATATAAATGTACAGCATACTGCAGGAAGATGAGCAAATCACAGAATTAATGCATTCATTGTTTAACAGGCTAATTATCAGTGGAAGGAAAATATCTTAGTAGATATAATAGACAACATCCAAACAGATCAACAACTTTCTGGTCTGCTATGACACATACCTATGCAGACACACATACATACACAAGCATACACATTAACACACCTTTCCATCTCTATATCATCATACCTCCAAATATTCTGTGTGTTTTAGTTGTAATGACTTATTCCTGTTATTTACAAAAATGAAAATGATATAAAATATCTTGTCAAATCCATCTCTCAGTATTATATACACTATCTCTTGGCTATCACTCTACCCTAACACAGCACTGTCGTCATTGTTACTGATATACATATTTCCTCTTTTTTACAATATATATATATATAAATATAATCATATATCAAAAGCTAGCTAGCCATGGTCCCCCCCCAACCCATCCGAAACTGCCATTAAATAAAATTAATTAAATATCCGATTCCAACGGCAACTTCACAGCTCATATTCTCAGCGTCTTCCGAGGCAGCCCATCCATAGCAGCCTCCATCGACGCCAGGAATGAGGTTGAATTGTGGACTGTCGAGCCACCCAGAATAACGCGCATGCCTGGGTTGTTAGTGTTGAACTGGTGGATGGCGGCCGATTCCTCATATGTGACACCCCCTATGATGAATAGCACTACGTTCTGTGGTCTGTCAAGAGAGATAATGAAGTGGAGTAATATTATTAATATAATTTTTTTTTTCTTCTTTTTTTTTTCTCTTTTTTAGCATCTTCTAATTAACATAAAGGATTAGTTTGGACTTCAAAGCCTTATACTTCCTACACAGTCACCATATGCCAAATTCATCCAGAAGCCACAGCCCTTTTCCACAGCTAGGAAATTGATATAATGTTCATTTATTCATGCTAAATGTGCTTTTCTATATATGATAATGTCTAAAATTGGAAATGTTCTCACTATTCATATGTTTTCTGGAAATATAGGTTAAAAAAAAGAAAATGTGATTAAACAGTAGTTCACTCAAATTAGACACATCTCATCTTATTACATAATAACTAAAAATGAAAAAGACCATATAGAAAGTCTAGAAAAGCCTTATATAGAATGTCATCAGTTGGTAATGAACACATTCCATGGCTGTTCCTTTGAGTATTATTCTACCCCTCTACACACACTCTACATTTACAGTCTCATATATCTAGTTTATGCAAATCATACTTACTGCATACTGTACTTTTTTTTTTTATTTCATCATGTGTATTGATTAATTTATATCAGTTCCTTCTGCAGAATATGGGCATGACTCCTAAGCAAATTTAACATCAACTGACTATGTGGAAGTGGTGTCGGATTGGGTTAGTGACCCAGAATATGAATAAAATATCATAGTCAACAGTTTACTCAGACCTCAAAACTAAACACCTCGCAACACAAACCTGTAAACAACTCCATCACTTCAGTACATTTTTTTTTCTGTACAAAAACAATATCCTTTGACAAAAATAACAGCACCACCCACAAGAAACAAGAACCAACTCATTTTGCAGCATTCACTTACTTTGATGCAGTGGGGGCGGGATTTCCACAGTACGGATAAGCACCCTCTCGCAGACGTCCCTTAGCTACCTCTGAGATGGTGTCTAGAACCAATGGCTTGTGTTGTGTGTACACATTATCGACGCCTTTAAGGCCCTGTGAGTTAACAATTCTGATTAATCAAAAATGTCTGCTCTGTTAAAATCTAGAGCTAAATTGCTATGATACATATATAAAATCAGGAAACTTGTGTATATGAACATGTGTACAGTGTTTGCACATCTGTGCATGTGCATGTGTGTGTGCATATTACACATACACAATAAAAATAAAAATAAATAAAAAATAAAACAATTCATCCACCACACCAGGTAAAGATCTTACCTTGAAGAGACGCTTTTTGATAGCCGAAACGTCCTGGGGAGCCTGAGTGCCAAAGAGGTCACTCTGCCGAGCCCTTGCTCCTCCGTAGTCCATCAACGATGATAATAACTACAATACAAGTTGAATTAAATTGTACAGAATCCTTTGGAAAAAAAAATGTGGCCATCACATCCCAAAGAATCTATCTTATCCATTGAAAATCACAGAACAAAACTAGAAATTAAAGAAGGTGCATCGCATTTTTGTATCTAATTCACATATTCTATAATATAACAAAGAGCATCTGTTTTCATTTCTAAAAGATCATTGTGTTATCAAAAAGGGTTAGAGTACAATAGAATTATATCCAAAATTGTACTAATACATATATTATCTAAACCACTGATTCATCTTCATGTACAAAATGCAAATTGTGAGCAAATTGCATTGATTGAGCCTCTTCATTTCACAATAAAACAACAATTTAACTATAATGGAACACACAACTTCTTATTACCTAAAACAAGGTAAAAGTCTTGAGAGCATTTTTCTATAAGATGAGAAAAAAAAAAAAATCAACATATATTTCACCTAGAAATATTCCTAAAACCACACAAACTTAAAATACCATTAAGACAAAAAGGTACTGTATCAATAACATATCCTTAAAAATAAGAGGAGTCAGTCATGTTTCAGTAGTGTTTTGTCCTTAAAATTACATAACCAAAGACAATAGCAAATCACATATATAACCATCTCGGGCTGCCACAGGTTCTGATGTCAGATAACCTTGGTTTTCTACAGATTATATATATATAATATATATATATATATATATATATATATATATATATATATATATATATATATATATATATATATATATATATATATATGTGTGTATATATATATGTAATTTATAATCTTATCTGAGCAATACTTCTGTTGAAGATATAGGATAATATCAAAACACATCAATCACATTTCTTGTTCTCTGAAGTAATCCATTTCCCTATCATCCATTTTCTACTTCTTGAACATAAACAAAATAATTTTTAAAATCAAAAACTGAAAAAGACCCTAATAAAAAACCAAATACACTGAAATCCAACCCACCTTCAAGTAGTCATCGCCGACATTCCTCTTGCGCAGGGCAATAATGAGCCCCCGGACGTCATTGTTAGGATGACCCTCATGGCGAAGGGCGTAGAGCATGACGAGAGCGACTGCATCTGCCTCCCTTACTTTCACATCTGTTACAAGCTGGTAAATCCTCTGGAAAGCAAGAGAAAATGGAAAAATAAACGCCACTCTTTTCTTTCTTAATCATACTTAACGAAAAAGAATAAAGAAATGACAAACAAATACCAAATATCGAGTAAAGGTGAAAAAAGGTACATACAAATAACTAACATCATATAATGTCCATTATGAATTCATTAAAAACAAAACAAAAAAAGGTGAAATTTTCTTCATAAATCTTATGACAAGTTTGCACAATCCAGCCAATGAAAAGACCCCCCCAAAAAAAGCATAAAAAAATATATATATACATATGAAACATGCTATACCTGAAAGCAAAAAAAATCAACTCGCATTACCTGGAGATTAGCCGAGTGATCTGAGCCGCAGACGAGTTCCTGTTGGCACTCAGAAATGCCGAGAAGACCAAGAGTGCCAACCAGTCTCGACAGCTCCCCCACTACAGTCACATGCTTGCTCACTGTGCCTGACATTTTCTAGTGCAAAAAAGAGCCAAAATTAAAGATTTATTTCTTCATGGATCATCCATATACAGCATTTCTACAATATTTCCACAGATTTACAGCATATGTCAACTGGAAGCTTTAGTCATAAAAATATCTTTTTAATCTTATAGGTTCAACAACAATTCATGAGAAACAAACTTCATGCATAATATAATAAACTTCAATAGACTTATACATCCCATAAAAAAGGAAAAGAATAGATGACAAAGGCATATAAGAAATAAATCATTGAGACTAAAATTACATACCATTATCACTATCCTTAACATTAATATGAATATTATGATCATCATAATTCAATAATAACAACTATTATTATTACTAATACTATGTTTCTATTTTATTTCCTTACCTCTATCTTTATTATCTCTATTATAAACTCTATCTGATCATTTTCAGTGTTTATCCTTATTATCTTAATTTTCATAAATTTTTATGTTTGTATTTACATTTTGCTTATATTAACATTTACATCTACATTTTCATTTTCATTTTCATTTTCGATTTTTATTTCTATTCCTTATTATTTGTTATTTATATTTATTATTTTTATTCTTATCTTTTTATTTATCAATTTTATTCATATCTTTATCATTTCTTATATCACCTTTAATTTGTCATCTTTATCATTATCATTATTTTACTATCTTTATCACAATCTTTATTTCATTAATTTCATTATTAAATACATTATCATTATTTTTATTATCTTCTATTATCATTCACTGTTATCCTTGTTATTGTTATTTATTTTTATTTTAATCATTATCAATATTGTTATCATTATCATTATCATCATTGTTATCATTATTATTATTGTTATCATTATCATTATCAATATCATTATCATCATTATCACTAGTAGTAGTATTACCATTATCCTTATTGTTATCATGGTTATTGTCATTGTTATTAATATCATCAATATTTTCATTATCATCAATATTATCAAGATCAATAATAATATCTGTATTTTCATTACTATTAGCAGCAGTACAATTACTATCATTACTATTATAATTACTATAATTACAATACTTATCACTACATTAATATAATTATTGTAATTACAATTGTAATCCTCAATAATCATGAATATAGCAATAATAAAAAAACAATAATAATACCTAAAACACTATAAATAGATTCAACAATAACAAAACAAACAATTGACAGAAAAATTCAAGTTCCTCCATTCTCTTCAATACATTTGTAAATTTCAACAAGCAACAAAGGAAACATAAAAAATGAAAAAAAAGGAAAATAAATGCAAAGTCAACAAAAACAACAATAAACAAATTCTCACAGCAATCTCACAGCCAAACCTCTTTACCTTGAACTGGGGATAGCTCTCGACGAAATGCTTCATGTCGTTAATGGATTCCACTTTTTGCTGCTTGGACAGTTTCTTCTGGTAATCTTCCATAAGGTCCTTGATAGTCTGGCCAATCTCACCATAGTTCAGATACATGCTCTGAAATATTAGTGAAGATGAGCTAAAGTGAGTGAGTGAGTGAGTGAGTGAGTGAGTGAGTGAGTGAGTGAGTGAGTGAGTGAGTGAGTGAGTGAGTGAGTGAGTGAGTGAGTGAGTGAGTGAGTGAGTGAGTGAGTGAGTGAGTGAGTGAGTGAGTGAGTGAGTGAGTGAGTGACGTGAGTGAGTGAGGAGTGAGTGAGTGCTGTGTATGCATGTGGAGTGGTGGGTGCATGAGTGTGTGTGCATGTGCAGTGTAGTGGGTGGGTACATGCATGCAAGTGTGTTTGTGTGCGTGAGTGAATTGTATATTCATAAATATGTACACAAAGTGACAAACATTTATATTAGGAAATGTAATACAAGTGACATGATACAATCACCAACAAAAGCAATGCACTTGTTGTAAAATAATCATATAATTTATCATTCATCTATAAAGTCAGTTTCCAGTCCTTTTACCATTGTAGACAACTCAGAAAACCAAACTGCACTGCCATCTTAAAATAGAATGTCTTCATAAAGCCACAGAGTCATGCAACACTACAGACATTTTCCTGTTAAACCTCATAAAGAAATAAATGCTCTAAGTCTTCTAATAATGCAATTTTCACAAAGTATAGTGAGTAAAATCTATTTGGAGGATATGTTCATTAAAATCTCACTAACTTTCACCTGGTTATTTTTGCTGTATTGCAAGATGCCCACAAACAAATCAGTCTATTCTTTTACACATGTAACGTGAGAAGTGTTGTGATATCTTACGTTAGTTCTGGCTGTCGCTTTCTATGACTTGTTGTAACTTTAGATAAGGAAGAAAACTCATATCATAGACTATTAAAAAATTTAGAAAATAATACAGTATAAAGCACACAACAATACATACACCCATACACAGTGTTAAGCATAGATAAGCCTATGTATTGGAATACTGTTTTATTTTCATTTGGTTTATTGTCTATCAAATACATCAAAGTGCTACTAACATCAATTTTTATTATATGATGTTAGTTGAAAATCAAATGACTGTTATTTTGTATTTCTTTTGTCGGTGACAGTACCATAACATATTCAGAAAAAGTTTTGTAAATCTGGCAGGAATAATTCACAGTACAATGAAACTATATATACTGTTGGGCCTAATAACAAAACATTGTAACCCTATCCACCTTATAGAAGGAGCACACATACCCGAGCATAAAAGTCATCTTGAGTGGGTGACATGACGACCTCCTTCAAGTCATCTGACACCCCAGGCACATGTGCAAGGTTAACCCTGCCATTGTTCACCCCCAAGAGCTCGTGCACCATTGCTTCGTATGTCCACTGGGGAAAAAAATAACAGTTATCTTTTAGAAAGAGATTCGCTTTAACAGAGAGTAAGGCATCTGTGATTCCATGATCATTAATCTAGAAAACATTAGGACATTTAATACTACTTAAGTTCATCTTCATTAACTATGAAAACCTCCCAAAAACAATCAACATCTAAAATATAAAATCTAAACATATTATCTAAAACATGAATACTATAAACAGCAGTATCTAATACACGGCACAAACTTGGCTAGTCAGTCCTAAAGGGAGATAGCACTAATTGTCACTCACCTGGTGCAAAAGAGGTGTCACTGGATCATCTCTTCGGTCTAAGATGAGTAACAAAGAATTACCTTCCGTGTCGACATTTGTGTACAAGGAGCCTTCTGTTACAATAGTTTGCTGGAAGGTAAAATAAATAAGATAGTGTAATGAATTTCATATACTGCTTTCTAATACAACATACATTTTATCAATTGTATTCATCGGATATTTTTTACTATGTTTGTATACCTCAAGAACTATTTCTTATACTATTTAAAACACTTTGAATCAAAGTCATTCCCTCTACTGCAGAAATCTATGGTATATAGTCTAGTATCTTTCATATATTTGTTGCATCATATTAAATAGGATTAAAATAAATGGGATTTTCTATAACCTGCAAGTCTTTACTTTGTCAAACAAATCAAATATGAAAAAAAATCATATAAGAAACATCATCTAGTACAAAGCCTTTTCTTGTTAAATAAAAAGGATAATTAAAATAAACAAACTTACTCTAATATTTTCAGCTAAACTGCGAGCCATTTCTGAGTTATTCTGATAACGGATTGTGGGCAGCAGCTGTAAACTGAACAGCACACCAGCAAGACCCTGGACAGTACGCTGCAGACACCCAGAGCCCCATTTCATACCTGTTAGAAAATATCATCAAGTAAATAAATAATATCTAGTAAGTCAAGTTAGGCCCATAGTCACTTCTCAGAGTTATAACCATAGTGCTTAAAGCAATCATCTTGCCCTTTGTACCTTTGGCACTCCAGCAAACCTGAACAAACTTGTATCACATATAGTCTGATATGCTCCATCTTGTAGACCTCCCTGGTAATACTGTCCCATACAGAATTAGTCCAAGCTCTATCTTCCCAGAATAAGTGTACTAGGATCTTGACCTCTGGTGGAGCTCGGAAGGAGCAGAGGCCACAGTGACCCAGGACTTACTTGGACCCAGGGGGGTTCATGCTTACCATGTGAGTGGATGGGCATGTTGAGAGAGAAGAGATGAGGCGACAAAGCCTGGTAGTCTGCATAGAGCTCTTGAACTTCACGCACAACTTCATGCTCATCGGCCTCTGCCAAGAGCTTCACATCACTCTTGCTGACCACATTGCTAAAGTCTAAGGGTGAAAAAGTATCAGTAAAGATGTAATCATTTGAGACTTTTGAGGTTTGTTTTCTATTTTTTTTTTTCATTCAGGTTAAAAAAGATAATATAACCTAATCATTAAGACAGATGCAACCCTTTTCTCCTACATCATACTATGATCATCTGTTCATTCAAATTCAGACTTAATCAATCCTAAAAACAGAAAACCAATTCCCCTAAACCTACATAATTAATGCCCATAATCATAGTAAACTGCACAATTTGTTGTCAGTCCTATTCATCTGCTGAAAACCTAACAAACTTCTTTCTCATAACTTTTTTTGGCATGAAAGAGATGTATAAGTGCAGTCAATCACACAGTCACAAAACTACCTTCTGGTGTAGTGTCATATACTGTAATGTAATTTCACTACTTATACCTCCAGATACATAACTTTTATATATGTTTTATCTACATACTTATAGTAATCTATAACCATTTTCATTCTTTATACGAGTCACCTCGATAACCTTTTCAGCTTTGCCCTCTACTGACACTCTATTGATATGATAAGTATATTTCCTGGCTGAAGAGTGCAGAATAAACCTAATTCACACCCTAAAGGTACTGGACAAAACCTGTTAAAAAATAGGAAAAAAAAAAAAAAAAAAGTAACCATTATAAAAATAACTAAAAAATAGTGAATAAAAAATGAAATAAAACTATAAAATCACATGCACAAGCTAGATCCACCCCAAAAAATAGACCAATAATACTACTTACATATATAATAAGCTCCATAGCGTGGCTTCTGCAGCTCATGACACAAGGCTCTGATATTGTCCTGTGTAGGTCGGACGTAAACTAGGCACTTCAGGTATGACATGTTTTCCCCTGAGCTTGTCTGGTCCAGGCGCTCAAACATGTATACTTCCTGCCTCATGACTTCACTCATCCCTAGGACCAAACTTACAAATGATGTCTGTGGAAGAGATTTAAGAAAAGTGATTAGTGTAACATGCTTCAATATACTGTACATGATTTGAATTATTACAGCTGCAAAACTGATATGCACAAATGAAGAATAAAAGATTCATCACAGACCTAAAAATGAGTCCTACAGGTCAAGTAGCCTTCACAACATTTGTAATGGCAAAATAGAGCTTGCTGTTTTATCATGAAATAAAATACTCCAAGCTCAATTTTGCCAGAATATACATACTAGAGGCTTCTTTGCTTGCTGGTGTGTGAAGCACAGAAGCCACAATAATTTCTTAATGTTCTATTGTGGACACTTGCTACTGTATTTTTCCAACATTAGAAAATGGAAGGCAACTCAAAATGCATAACAAATACAGTATGAGTAAACTGTAGCACTGCATTTTCAATATTTCAAAGTTAAAGTTAATAATAACAGACAACAACAAAACAAAAAAAAATGAAATATAAAAATAAAAATAAATATAAAAGTACATGTAAAACAGCAACAAAAATTAATAAAAATCAAAGCAAAGACAATAACATTACCTATACATATAACAGTAAATAATGTGAAAGTATAGCAATACCTATCCATTTCTATGAACAAGTAAGGGAACACAAACTTGGATAAAGACAGTAAATAAACATCAAGTATAACTTCCCCTAAAATAATACATATATCTTTATTCATTACATCAATTATCCAAAATAAGAACACATAGACAGAGGAACACTAATATAGCAGTCATTGAGAAATCACTTTTTTGTATGATCTAAGATCTAAGTCTGTAGTAATGTTGTGGCCTCCGTGATCTGTGCTCCAGGTAGAGATTTGATTGGAAATATATAATCAAATAAGAAATTAGTCTAAGGACTATCTTGAACAGCATATGAGAAGTGCAGATCTGTTTGCCTTGTCAGAGTGAAAAACTTGGATACCACTTTTTTTTATTCAATACTATTCTGAATAAGGCAATTGTTTATGAAGTGACTGCACCCTGGTGAGACTAAGTTCCTATTACCCAAGCCGAAAATATTGGGGGTACTCCTGGGGATCCACAAACATTGACAAATGAAAAAAAAAAACTTTTTAACCCCCACCCAACTACAGTATTTACTTAGCCGGGAGCCCTACTTAATCACCATGGACTTTGTTCCCATGAAGCATTTTTCATGAGATATTTTCTTCCTTTATGTTATTCTCTGCTTGCACAGATCATTTCAAATATCAGTTTATTTTTTTCCTCTCTATATATTGCTGACTCTGATACTGAGTGACTGTTTATGATAATACTGTCCAATTATGTGTGGGGAAAATTCTGTGTCTGGAAACATTAGAAATGATAAAATTCCCTTATCAGGGTCGAAGTAAAATTCATACATTTTAATCAGGAAACAATAAATTTCTTGCCATCTTAAGACAAAGACACCCATCTTCAAATAATAAAAGTTTTGATTATCTGAAAAAAAATACAAAGCCTTCTTTTTAATTTCGTATCCCTTCTTTTACTTATTTTTTTTTCTGAAGACTACAATCCCACAGAAATTATCCTAGGAACAAAACTCCCACAATTTTCACCCTTTTTAAAGCCCTACCAACAGCAGTAAATCTAGAGTGCCTCCCAATAATACTAAAAACAATAATACCTCTACATGAAGTATATGCTAATCAATAATCATTAGCTTTATTTCCCAGGCCCGTTACTATCCAGTATCCCGTCTTCCTTATCTCCCCTACAATAGTCTACAATAAATACCCATAAATACCCCTATATTCCTACACCTCGATACCCATAATCCAGTTTTAAAGGCACAACCCTCACTCTACAATCAGCAACACCAAAATAAACATCATAATTCCTACTCGTTCCACCCACCCCCTGACCCTCCCGATCTCCTTCCTCTCATAATTCACCGCTTTATCTCCCTCCTCACCGTCTCTTTATCCATCAGCATGATCTTATAACCCGGCTCGCTCTCGGATATCATCTTGTTCACGTAATTCTTCACTGCCTGAACGACACTCATCTTGTTCCAGTCCCAAAGAGGGTGAAAAGGGGGACTTTGTTGACGTTTCGGTCCAGTGATGACACTACAGCGGCTCCGACTGCGCTAACGAACAGCCGCTAGCGAAGAAAGACTTTTAGCGAACACCTTCTTCTATGGAATCTGCGCTAACGAACACTCACTAACGAAGAAGGACTTTTAATGAATACCTTCTAGGGAATTTGTTGTTGAAGAGGAGGTGGATTGTTAATGGTAATAATGGTAGTAATAGCAATAGGAATAACGATGATTATTATTATCATTATCATTATCATCATTATCATTATCATATTATTATATTATTATTATTATTATTATTATTATTATTATTATTATTATTATTATTATTATTATTATTATTATTATTATTATTATTATTATTATTATTATTATTATTATTATTATTATTATTATTATTATTATTATTATTATTATCATTATTATTATTATTATTATTATCATTATTATTATTATTATTATTATTATTTTATTATCATTATTATATTATTATTATTATTATTATTATTATTATTATTATTATTATTATTATTATTATTATTATTATTATATTATTATTATTATTATTATTATTATTATTATTATATTATTATTATTATTATTATTATTATTATTATTATTATTATTATTATTATATTATATTTATTATTATTATTATTATTATTTTATTATCATTATTATCATTATCATTATTATCATTATCATTATCAATTATTATTATTATTATTTATTATTATTATTATTATATTATTATTATTATTATTATTATTATTATTATTATTATTATTATTATTATTATTATTATCATTATTATTATTATCATCATTATCATCTTTACTATTATCATTCATCATATCATATTTTTTTATCACTATCACTGTTATGATCATCACTATCATTATTATTGTCCTTATCACAGACATAACTATTATCACTATCATTATCATTATTATTATTGTTATAGTCACTATCATCATTGTTATCATCTTCATTATCATTGTTTTTCATCATTATTATCTTTTTTATCATAACTATTACTAATTTCTTTATTATCATTGTTGTCATTGTCATTATTATTATTAATACTACTTTTATCATTATCATTATTTGCATCATTATGATTATGGTTATCATTAATATGATTATTATCTCCATTTTATTGCAATTGTTATTATTATGATCGTTACCACTATTTCCGTTTTTATTATCATAATCATTATTATCATTATTCTATAATTATCAATATTAATAGTAGTATTTACATCATAATGATGATCATTTTTGTCATTACTTTTATCTTCATTATTATTGTTATCACCACTGTAATTATCATTATTACCACTAATCCTATCATTATCATCATCAATTGTCATTGCTAGTGTTATCCTCATTATAAACATAATTATTATTGTCGTTATCAATTATCATTGATAATGTTATCATCAAAACCATCATTATTATCATTATCATTACTATGACTGAATCACCAAATATCATCATTACTACAATTACTGGTATTTTTTCTTACTATTACTTTTAGCATTGTCATCATTATTATCAGTGCTGCCTTAATTCATTCAAAACATCCTAATTTATGGCTTCCAAAATTATAGCAGTTCTGTATATTTACACCATTTCTTACGGGAAAATAAATATAGGAAACACCAGAATAAAGGAGTTTTATTTGACAAAAATTTCAAAAATTCATTAAACAACCTTTGGACTATAATATCAGATAGGTCAGTGATACAAAGACTTATCTCACAGTTTAATTTAAAATGTAGATATGTTACACAGTGTAATCTGTTGTTTTTTTTTTCTTGACTACAAAAAAATAATTATAGTTTAGTGTAATTGCCAATATACACTAATAACAAATTCTGAATACTCAGAAATTGAATAAATAATTAGAATTTTCAATGTTAGCTCTCAATACAGTAAATAAATAGTACATGTAAATATAAAATTTGTTAAATCATAACAGCTATTGTCCACATTCAATAATACACCTACAAATACAGATGTATAATTTTGTGTGCACAAGTTCATGTGTGTTTTTCATGTGTATTTGCACATGAAAGGGTGCTTGTGTATGTGTATCACGTAAATGTGTCTGTGTCAGCAATGTAAGCATCAAATCTACATTGCTCTTGCTCTAATTTGTTACACCTAATCAGCCAGATTTGGGGTCTATGCATCCTACAATGTCATCTACCTGAGACATGCCGAAGGGGCACTATCAAAATAGTTTGAGGGGAAACCAACGAAAGGATGGCAACCTTGGGGGGAAATATAGAGCACCAATGTCAGGTCTTGTTTCGGGCATCAAATGCACTTCAATGGCAATGGCATGTAGGCATGAATGAATGAATGCTACATATGACTGCATCATAGCGCTAATGGATTGACTTTGTTGAGCTTTGTTCCAAGATGCAAAGAATCATCTCATTGATAAATAAATATATAAATATTCAAACATACAAACTGATAGAGAGATAAACAGATAGACAGAAATTCAATTTCTCTCATAACAATAATTTTCTTTACTTTGAAGTTTGTACATATGACAATATTTACAAAAGTCTTTCAAAAAATATTCAATCATTGTTTTGATACACCAATAAAAAATAAACATTCATAACCTTTCTTCATTTAATAAACAACTAAATTCCAAAAGATTAAAACATATAACAATATATTAATTAAAACTGACAATGTCTAAAATACTTGTTGCTAAACAACAATCTGTGGAAGCACCTCTCCACAACGCGCACTTATTCTGAAATCTAAGTGCTTGTCAGCTCGGGTAGTACCAATATTTACTGCACAAAGTGGTATCCCCATATCTACAGCCTGTAGAATAAACCTGTAAAAAAGAAAACTTATTTCAATTTGGCTGCCCTTTCTTATAATGATTTTTTGCATGCTAAATGTAGTACACAGCTCATGATGTAATCTTAATCTGATGCTCAAAAAAGAAAAGATGCTCAAAAAGAAAGAAAGAAAAACTTATCTTTAATAGCTCAGACTATTGTTTTCAGTCAAATTTATAACTACCAAAAGTACCAATAAAACTGAAATCTGCTATATACTTAGCATAGACTGAATTTACAGTCTCAATAAGCTGAAGTCTTACCTATACCCTGAGTAAACAAATAAGGAGGAGCCCAACACTAGCAGGCCATCACTTTCACTGAGTTCTTGCTTCACTCTCTCAACACGATCCTTGGGAACATTATCTCCAAAAAAGACAATATATGGCTTCATGATGCCGCCACAGTGTTTGCATGGTGGTACTTGAAACTGGTTAACTTCCTCCTTGAAAAGAAAAAGATTGTTATACATGTATTTACTTATCATCACTACCTTCTCATTTGTATCATTTGTATAACTTTCATTAAATATTGAAACAAACACAAAAAAATGCATAGGTACTCTATCATGATGTAGAAAATAATGCATAGGTGCCACTTTCTTGTCTCCTTATCTATGTATATCACTGCATGTATAATTCACACAAGCTTACATCCTTCTTCTTACAATGCTATCTTATAATTATTTTAGCTTTTTAATCCAAAAGTAAACATCAGTACATATCAAATGCTGATGTCATTTTCAACATGCAAAATCTAATCTCATCACCAACTACTTTATATACTGAAATCTTGGAAAAACATATACTAGAATCACCTATGAAAAGAGATTAATTATCCAACACTCATGGCTCATAAAAACTGTTCATAATAATAATGAAATAAAAGAGCATACCTCTGTAAGCTCTACATCACCATCTGGCCGTATTTCAGATGAGTGGGAGGACATGTGGGGGTTTAAGATCCGTAGCCTGCTTTGGAAGCTGTGTCGGTCCACCATCTTTGAGCAAGACATACATATAACATTAAAAGCTGTACCTGGAGTGATAGAGAGAGCCGAGAGGTTAGTTACTTTACTTAAACTGATGCAAACAGTATAAGACTGTGGTCATTCTTAAAACTAATGGAATCAAACATATCTTTAGTATTATCTTTTGAATGATTTACCATCTTACCATGTAATTCATGAACTTTTGTACTCCCAGCTTTGTGGTGCAAGCGATCAACATTCTGGGTCACAACACACTGAATTTTCCCTTTTTTCTCCCATTCAGCAAGTGTCAGATGAGTAATATTAGGCTGGAAAGTGGAGAACCTCGGCCAACCTATGTAATTTCTTGCCCAGTAGCTTTGTCTAGCTTTTGCTGAATCCATGAATGTCTGTGAAAGAAACAGTTGTTACTTTACTTATAATAACAACAAAATATCATAAACCAATCTATACACATATTTCAAATTCAAAGACCTCACTGTCTCAATAGAGAAAAGAATCACGTGTCAAATGAAAAATAATCAATGTTTTCATCTTATACACAAATTTAATACATCCCACCTCATGCACCTTTTCCTCACCTTAAACTGCACTGGACGTTTATTACTTGTAGCATAAAGACCAACACCTTCTGAGCGGTAATCTGGAATACCACTCTCTGTTGATATACCTGCTCCTGTTAGTACAAATATCTTTCTGTGATTGTCAACAAACTCTTGCATTTGATCCACAGCCCAATTTTCACATGGGTGGTGTTTCGGAACAAAGGCATATTGCGAGCACAGTCTTGTCACTTCCGAAAATATCCTTCTGTACTGCTTTCTTATAACCAATGAATTATTCATTTCAATATATTGCAGCCAAACTCAGTAATCTTTTCTGAAGTCAAATCTGAAAAAGAGAGAAAAAACAGTCTATATTCAAAATGAGATATTGTTTATACCTACAAGTACATATTGAAATTCAGTCAATCTAGTACTTAACAACAAAAAGTGTAACAAAATCAATATGTATACTGACTGTCATGCTATATTATAAGCACTAAAAATTACAAATATTTTAATTTTACTTTTCCTAAAATTAAGGAAACTATCTATTTTTCCTTTCTTTTTACATTAAATTAGGAATGTGGCTTATATACCAAGATTTAGGATTTTGGATTGGAGAAAGACGTGCATAATGATAGAAAATACCACTCTGACCATAGAGAATGAGCATGAGGAATTCAGCAAGGCCATAAGGGCAGTTTTAACCTATCAGGAAATATCTGTAATCCATTTTTTTTCACTCCTCCAGGGACATATGATTCCTTATTCTTTATGTTTACTTTGAATTATTATTTCCTTCTTTCCTTCCTTTTTTTCTTTCTTTTCTTTTTGGTTTGTCTGTTTTCTTTCCTCTCATGTATGGATGACATAACTTTCTGGGGTCTAACCTTTTCAACAAAGTAATATATCATATCCTTGACTTTCATACTTTTTTTTTGCTTTCTCCATCTCTCTGTGGTCTATATCAATTTAGATCCTACTTCTTATCTTCACTATACAGTTGCTATTTCTACTTGCTTACTACCAAGGTGACAATGGTAATTTTGCTTTCAAATGATGCTATGCATTGTATAACTACTAGGCCATGTTGTATATCTTAATACATGTTATGATTTTCTTCTGTGAACTGCAAAACTATGAATATTTATAAGTATATTATCAGATATTCCTTGCTTACTAATAAAGTATAATTATGTAACATGCATTAAAACACAGCACACAGGGAGAATTATTCAAAATTAATCAATTCTACAAAGTAGAGACAAGGTCACAATCACTCCATGAATTGATACCCGTGTGGCTAATTCCAGTGACACTGCTGCCTCCACCCTTTGAGCTCTAGGAAAGGAACTGAAGCCTCCACTATAGACAAAAGTAAGACAAAGATTTAAAACTTTTCCACAATTTTTTAAGAAACATGGAACTAGTCTGTGCTGAACAATGGTGGCAAATGTTTGTTGGCAATTGCCAGAATGCAAGGCACAGAGGCATCTTACCTATGGCATTTTTATTAAGGACAATTACTCAAGGTACTTGCATCCAAACCTATCCCATTGTTACGGTGAAAATCCTGATAACTAACCAAAACAACAACATATTTTTTGCTGCATATTATCTTATATATGTAAGTATAAAGAACTGAGAAGATAAAAGATCACTTTACCTGTACAAAGACAGCTTGCAATTGGGAGAACCTGTGTATCTAGGCTCGGTGTTATTTTGCTTCCAGCATGTGAATGCACTCAAGAACAAGGTAATGATTATCTAAGGTCTTCTTATTCTTCTCTCTCTTCCTCATCAAGTCTTATTGTTATTATCAACATTCCTCCTCCTCGTCCAGACTTCAGCTTCTTGCTGCGTCGTTGCACACTAGACTACGAAAAGAGGTTTCGTAAGTTACCTTTCCATAAATTCTTACCTCGGTGTCTTCTCTCTTCCTTTCTTTCTTCTTTTATAGAGTTTTAGACTTTTATTGTCTACATCCCCTGGACTCTTTCCATAGGTCGTCTTTCTCCTCGTGTTACGTTTAAAATTATTGTAGGAATATTTTGGTGTATGTATGCAAGACTTTTGATCACCTTGACGTCAGTGTGTTGCGTAAGCAATGTTTACGTTCGTGGATGCCTGTCTATCCCGCACCCGCTCCTGTCCCTCCGTAAACTGGCCATCATATTCTTTTCTCTTAAATTAAAGGTTATCTTACATTGACATCTTGATATCGACAACACGAAAACAATGTACTTGTATAAACTTTAAAGATATGTATATCATAATATCGTTATATACGAGTACGTGTGGAATAGCGCGTTTTCCTTGGATTGGAATGCGGATTCACTGAATACACAAACGGCCCAAACACGATTAAACTTGTTTTTGTTTTTTTTTTATCAAACATCAAACAAAAATAAATCCATTTTTACTTGATGCCTGGTGGTTCTAGTGTCAACGTGAATAAAGACGCAGCTTGCGATTTCACTATATTGACAGATTATAAGGAAGGCGAGAGAGAAGAGTAGATGGCGAAAATGGCAGTAATTGATAAGAGAACTCCTTGGTGGAAAGGAGCTTGATATCATTAATACTAATATCAGCGACAATAGTAGTAGTAATAATCATATTATTACAAGTCATCATCATATTATCATTATTATCTGAGATCAATGTTGAAGGATATATAATAATAAATAATTATTACTGATATTGTGTTATTATCATTACTATATTATTGTTTTAGTATAGTTAGTAGTATTGTAGTAATATTATTGTTGTCATCTGACCTTTCTATTATAACCAGATGGTGGTTAGTAAATTGACTAGAAAAGCAGCTCTTGATAGTGATAATATTCGGCGAATTGATTTGTTTAATAGGGAGGCTAGCATAAGAACATTGAGACGGTTGACTTAATAAAATGAATGGTTGTCTTTAAATACCTAATAAAAAATATTTATAAGTAATCATTGAAAATACGCTGGTAATTTAGAAATTATTTGACAGCAAACATTTATTAATATCAATGCAAGATGATTAAATAATTATAATAACAATAGATGAGCGTTGATAAAAAAAAACAATATTTCTAATCAATACAATGATAAGATTCATTCGACCTTCATTTGATCATTTCAATTATTATCAGTGATTACATATAATTATTATTCATTATCATTGATCATATTGTTATTATGACTTATATCATTATTAATGATTATGTTATTTATATTATCACTTACTGATTATTCTTTACACATTCATATAATTATTGCTACCATCACTATCAGTATTACTATAATTATTATGATTATTATTATTGTTATGATTATCATCGTTATGATGATAATAATTATTACTATCATTATCTTTATCATCGTCATATATATAACCCCAAACTTTTGCGAATCCGAAACACATAAACACTGAAACGTATTTAAATTTTATAACTTTATTGCAGTCAAATAAACACATATACAATTCTCACTCTTTGTTAGCTAGACTTACGTAAGTAGGTGACATTTCTTTCTAAAAAAAACACACCATGGTAGCGTTGTGAGTTTCATGACAAGTTTACCATTACCTGGTGTAATGTGTGTGCGGAGAAAATAAAACAGTTGTTTTACACACGGTGTCCAAGGACTTTACCTGTTCTTCAGTTGAAAAGCGAAAGAACACCCGCATTTATTGTTACATACATTATTTTTTGTTTGTTCCAAAACTCTTACTGCTCGTACGAAATATTGTGGTGTTTACTCTCTTCTGTAGTTTTTTACACTATTATCAGGGTCCAGAGAATTTTCTGGTGGGGGCACAGGGGGTAACAACAAAATCTGGGGGGGGGGGCCCCAAATGTAACAAAAATAGAGGCTGCCCACTTCAGTATTTATACTGTACAGTAACACATTGTTTATGTTTTCATCTTTCTGTGTGTGTTATATATTGATATAAATTAATATTATATATTAATATATAAATATTATATAGTCTAAACCTTGAGCAACACGTGGATGAATATATTTCTAAAAATAAAGAAATTTAAACACTAGAGTTAAAACCAATAAGGTACTGCTCTATAAAGTCTTCTTTTGATATTTTTATGACACAGACATACAATTCTACGATTATAAAAGTTTATCAAAATCGTTACTTACTGCCGACGGAGATTTTGGTGTCCATGTTAATTGCAGTTAGTTGAAAACCTGTTGTGTTGTCAAGGCTCTACGTGTCAGCTCCTTTAGGCTGTCTGCGAGAAGTACACGACGTTCTGACTTCACAAATTGCATTACCCAGTCACTTACAACCGTATTTTGAATTGAGAATTGAACTGAGTCGCGCTGAAGTTTTCTCCAGTTCATGATATCTTATATTTGGGACTTGTTTTCAAACTCGTATACATCCGGGTCCTCTCGTTATATAATGTTAGTTCCGGTTCCATAGCAGAGTCCTGTAACCGGAAGTTCGAGGACTGAATGCCTACTAATGGCCACTTCAACCATGAGGAATTTGCGAGGTTTTCGAGGCAAGAGTATCATGAAACCTGGCTTAGAAGTTATGAAGAAGTTATCACCGTGTATCCTTATATTCTTCCAATTTGTTGTCTTTTATTTTCAATGACATGGACTGTATTATTCTCTTAATGAAAATGGGAAAGTAACGAACAAGCGTATTTGGGTGACACTTTTTCTTGTACGAGTTCATCTATTCTCATTTTGGCACACACACACAACACACACATACATACAACACACACAACACAACACACACACACAACACACACAACAGACACATACTTTATAATATTATATATATATAATATTATATATATATATATAATATAGAATAATAGATAACACTTTTTCTTGTATGAGTTCATCTACTTCGACTCGTTGTGGTTGCATTGGCAGGTGGTCAGTCAGAATGTCAAATGTATTTAAGTCAGAATGGCAGTTCTTAAAAGATTACTGTGACTGAAATGGTAAATATTGCTAAACTCCCGGTTAGGCAAACCAGAACCAGTGTACCGAATTCACCCCACTTATAATCGATAATGTTGCTGTCTGTATAGAAGCCGACCTAAGTGACCTATGACCTCGAAAGGGCACGTTATCCCCTTGGAAAACACACGTCACCCGCGAAACACGAGCAAGTGTGATCCCAACGAAAGACAATGCTAATTGGCCTTCTACATCTTCTCGTTGTTTTAAGCATTAGCATTGCATTTACTGTAATGTACCTTTATTGTACTGTATTTTTTTGTAACAAATATATTTTACTCTAACTCACATCTTGAGTGTACCAAGGATGTCCATAATGACCATCATCAGGTGCATCTTATCGCTTCTTTAAGTCATCGAATAATTTGATTCTGTGTCCGTGGAGTCCTTGTCCTGTATCCTCTGTGTATACCTTGTCGCAGGTACCGCAAGGTATACTCTACACCTGGCTAAAAGGTTTGTTGTGGCCTGAACCTTTTTCCTTTACTATATCTCTGATCTTTTCTCCTGAAGCGGTACCTTTAATAATTGTGTGGCTCGCCCTCCAGGTGTACTGTCAACGCCAAGTGCGGAATCGTTGTTCTAAGGGTTCTATTATTCTGTATTTTGACCTGAGTGTTTTCAAATTAGAGAACTTTTCCTTGTTATTAATCCGTGTTTCTGGAAAATAATCGGTAGATGATACTGATAAGATATGTTATCCTTTACATTGTCCGGCGCATCTTTGAATAAAAAATATTGTCCTTTTATTTTACTAGTACCTTTGCTGATGCTAAATCACAAATTCAATTAGCTCGATCACGAACTTAGTTTGGGTTGCCTTTTAATAAATACCAAATAATGATTTAAACAAGGAAAAGGGAGAGAAGAGAGCATTGCAAAAAAAGGAAAAAGAAAAGAAAAGAAAACACAAAAATTAAACATTGGTCACAGATTATTGGTTATTTTCTACTTATTTTGGCTTTCGATATTTTGCGTATCATCTCATGCTTGTTGATAAACAGTGGGACTTCTCCTTGGCTAGACTTTCCCCCTACCGCTATTTTTTGGCGCGGGCGGGCATTTCCCTCCACATGGTTTTGAGTGGGTGGAATTTCCCTATGTGTGGATTTGTGTGAACGGCCCAAGGTAGTTTGAAACAGGCTTCTCCACTCTAGTCTTGATGAAAATCCTAGTTGGCAACTTCCGTGCTAAACTCAGCCTCTATGCCTTTATTCATTGCAATTCTCTTTTTTTTCTTAGTTTTGCTTCCAATTATTCTTCTAACCATTGTTATCACTGACATTTCAGATAAAATGCACTTAAACACACTTCCGATTCTTCTACCTTTGTTATCACTTGACCATTTCAAAGAAAATTCGCTTAAACACACATATAATACTATATCACACAGATTGACTGGGTCAAATAAAGGAATGAGGATAGTGACATCACGTTTAGCCAATGAGATTGCGCTGTGAGATATCAGATATAACTAGATACATAATTATCTGCATAATTTATCTGATAGTTATAATTACCAGAAGTAAAACAAAAATGCCCCTTTCCTTTATGATAACAATGAATTTCCTACCGTTAACCCGTCACAGAATACTCTTGGGGAAGAAGTCCATTTCATTTTTCGGTTCAACAGGCTTAATAAAAGTTGAGCTACCTGGTTATATGTACCTTGGGTATGCCTACGCGAGAGGACTTGAAACTTAACTATAAGATGTGAATGCTCTCAGAAGACTATCTATATGCAAGGCTTCCCTTACTGACAAGGTCTATATAAGTACGTATATAGGCCTTGATTACTGAAGCGAATGTAAGCATCTTTGACAATATTATGTCATCAGTATTATAACATCGTATTCTCGACAGACAATAACAGGCTTGTAATAAGTTTGTCTTTCTTTCTGGTACCTCATGTACACTCAGCTACTGAAAATAATCATGTCACGGACAACATCGCCATATCAGCGTTGGAAGTCTGCAAAGAAATTATGGATACTTCGGAGGCCAGCAAGGGAAAGGCTGAGCAGATTCTGGCAGAGAAAGCTCGCCACAAGTTCCGTGAAAGTTTGATACAAGTGTTATTCCCTTTTCACTCTGAACCAAATAAGAACTGTC